GCTAAGCTTTATATTGCATATTATAGTGTTATGGTTGTAATGTTGTTGATAATTGAATTCTAAAACATTGCAGATAAAAATCAACTTATATTGTTTATTTGTACAAGCTGAAATGGAAGCAAACTGTCAGTTGCAGGCAAAATTTGTCCCACTTCCCAATGCAAAATTATTTTACTAAACAGTTCCCATTATTTGTTTCATGAATATTAAAATCCAAATGGCACGTTTTGGAAACCCCTGCACGCATCCATTTCTTTCTCAGAAATTTTCCACACCCATTTGCAAAAAGGTAGCACACTTTTTTGTAACAGAGCAGGTGAACAACAAGAAAAGCTGCTGCTAAAATGATGGGATTGAGTTGACTTGATGCAATCATATGTATTTAATCTGTAAGGCCAGAACGTGGATTGTGATGTGCATCCAGCACAGATGCTGTCCTTCCATCCTGCATTACTCTTGGCGGGTTGTGTTTTTGGCTATAGAACCCCCCAAATCACATTCTGCTCCAACAAGTCATCTATGTAACGGTGACCCATTTGCCAAGGAAATGGTAATGTTACTGGCATACATTGTGTCTTTCCCAGAACTCCATTTTCCAGTTAAGCCACTCAGTCAGGGCAAGAGCACTGTACAGAGCCTAGCCAGCGCGAACAACCAGAGACCTTCAAGTTGGTGATCCTGTGAAAGTGTTAGATTCTGCTTACTGCTGGAGGCTACCCAGTGATCTGTGCTCTGAGATTTTCCTGTTTGTCCCAGTCATTGGTTGGGGAAGGAAGAGGAACACTCTAGCAGTACCAGGTTCTCTCTCTCTACCGATCGCCCTGTTCACTGTTTTGAGCAGCATGAAATGTGCAGAGGAGAAATCAGAGGCTGTGACTCTGATGCATGCTTAAGCGGTGTGCTTAGGGCTGTAGAAGGGCCAGCAGTTTTTTGCCCCCAACTCAAATGTTGGAGATGATAGACTATTACTTAGCCTGTAGAATATAGCATTAGGTCAAGATAGCTGTCCCACAGCAGCCGTAGCCCTTGGTCAGATCCTTCCAAACATCAGTCATTAATCTTGTGTGTCCTCCCTAATTGTTAATTATAGGAGTGTTTGATAGTTCTTCTCCTGAGAGCATGTGAAAGGGGTGGGTACTAGTTTGCCAGGCTAGTGCAAACCAAGTTAAGTGGAAAACAGTTACAGTATTTTGGCAATGTAGATGCAAGGCAAGCTGTTTTTCAGTTTAGTCCCATAATCTACAGCCTTTTTAGTAGTCACTTCACTGAACTAGAAAACCTGGTTGGGTCCAAGATACAATCACTGTTTCTTCCAGACCTCCTACTATTCCAGCTGGTAAGGAATGAGGTTGGCTGCACCTAAACCTGTTGCATTATAAAATGTGGGGGGGGGGGATCATCATGGAATATGACTTCAACTTAGCAAACTGGCATTTTTTTTAATCAACACCTGCCAGGGAGAGGCACAGGAGGATACCTAGCCCTAGCCCGGCTGCAGGCATGCGTTGGGCTAGGACCAGTGGCCAGAGTGTTTCTATCACTGCGTCAGAGATTCCATTACAAGGTTCTTTCCCTGTTCCCCCCAAAAGTAGATAGCCTATATCAAGAGTATATTTGAGGCAGAGAAACAGAATGAGTTTTCAGCTAGTGTGCTGACCAGTCTACTGCCTCGCAAATTTCTTCTCCGAGCTGACAGAGGTGGTCATGGACATACTGTAGAGGACCCTGAATATTGTGAAGTGTTGGGGGGACTTTAAAATTTGGCAGCAGCCACCATGTTGGCAGGGAGGGAACAACCTCAGGACTTCAAGCAATGAAGCTATTAAAATATTCAGGAGGCACAATGTATTTGGCAGATACAAATGAGTTTATAGTGAGTGGACAGATGACCAGACTGAGTGAGAACAGACATTACTGTGAGAGCTAGCACATTCATCATGAATTGCCTATTAAAAGTGATCCTCTGTCAATAGCAGATGGATTCTAGAATACCTTAGTTTTAGCTGGCAATATACCTAAATATATGGATGACTCAGTAATTGGGGGAGGGGGATAGTCTTTCCCATCTGTTAATGTACCTCTATGGTATTCTAGGGGACTGCTGCTGCTGAAGCGACTGGACTGACTGCTCAAAGAGTGTAGCATAAAGTGTGGGACCAACCTGCCCGTGGGGGGGGGGTCTCCTGTTCTAATAGTTGGGAGTTTTTCTAGCCTGAAGGGGGTCTCACTCTCCCCCAAGAACTAGATTGCATTGTCACCAGTAGGCAGATGACACTCAACTCTGCCAGATGGTGGGAGGTAGATGAGATCTTGATTGGTACTTTTGCTCCCTGAGGACATTATGTGAAGAAATTAGACAACCCAGTTGATTGGGAGTCCCACTGGAATCCAGTCTGTGCTGGATACAATTGTACTCCCTAACAATTCACATGGGGCGCTTTTTGATCAAGTGCCAATCCTGCATGTCCAGTGGAGAGTGCCTTTTACCGGCTTCAACTGGTTCACCAACTGTGCCTTCCCTGGACAAAAAGAAAGAAAGAAAGAAAACCACACTAATTTATGGCTTAATACGCTCTCAGTAAATCTGAGAAGTGTCTAGAAAATACAGCTACTTCAAAATGAAACTGTCCCTGTTAGAGAGCCATGGGAAACATAACAGTTTTACTGGCTTCTGTTTTGTTTCTGGAGTCAGTTTGAAGCCCTGGTGTTGACGGAGAAAGCCCTCACTCATTCAGGCCTGGATACTGCTGCCTTTCTCCAAAATCCTACTGAAAGGAAGCAGAGGGAAGGCCGGAACCTGGTCAGCAGAAGTATTAAAGTTAGAAGCTCCTTCCCTCAGTAAAGCGGTTTCTGACCTTTACTTGTTGGCCTTTGATGCCTGAACAAAAGGCAGCTTTGTTCGGGCAATCATATTCTCAGGAAACAGGCTTTTGGTTCAGTTTTGTTCTCTTGTTGATTTTATTTGTGTTTCATGCTGCTTTTAATTCTTGTACTATGGCTGTACTATGGCTTAATTATCGAGAGTCGATTCTAAATTAATAAAATTTGAAGGGCTCCTCTAATGGTGAAGAAATCATTTTCCCTCCCCTTCTTTTGTGCTATACTTTCCATACAGACAACGTCTGAGGGCCGAACTAGATGTTACAGTATCTTTATGGCAGTCATGAGGATGCCTTCACATCTAGTTTGGCCCTAAGAGGAACCAGATGGAAACACCCACATTGGCCCAAGCAAAACACTGTTTCCTGAGATCATGCCAGCCTCTCATCGTTATTGTGAGTATAAAGACTACATTATGGAAATTGTAATCATAAACTAGAAATAAAGTTAAGACAGGTTATTAGATACTAGCAACATTTCAACATTTAGAAGAAAAACCGCTCAATGGAGTACTTCTTGTATGTTGCAGTCACATATTTAAACACCAGTCCATCCTTACAGGAAGACAGATGGAAATCTGACCTATTTGTGATCATTCTCCTACCCCCCCCTTTCACATTTATAAGCAAAACAGAAGCTCTCAAGAAAGTCCTGTTAGCCCCTCAGAAGAAGCAGTTCAGCATTTCAATATTTCTAGTACTTAGACATTTTATTTTTATTATTATCCAAGTTATTACATCCTAAGGCCTAAACGATTCCAGATTTTTATATTGGAACAATTTTTCCCTTAGGTACCAACAGTGGTATATACGCACATAGAAGAGGACCAGCTTGCAGTAGTATGTATTCAGCTAAACTACAATCCGACCAGTTCCATGACTAGATCACATTACCTCTCTCATTGATTAGGTCACCAACATGAACAAGATCATGATTACAACACTCGCCCCACCCCCCCCATTTCCAACAGGGTGCTCCCATGGCAAATTCTTCCAGGTTCCTTGTGATTGGACAGTTCCATTTGAATATACTCCTTGCTTTCCCATTGGATGTTTATCAAGCAGTAAATCTCTGCCGGATCAGTTTGTATCTAAGCAGTTCTGGTTCGGAAACTGAAGGCTGCAACTTTGTGGCCGCTTGTACAAAGTCCTCCATGGTCAGTAGAAGCTCTGAGCTCTCTGTATCAAGTCCTGGAGAAAGACAGCGAGAATTGCAAAACTAGTTTTAGTCTTGTCACATGGTGCACACATGGTGCATGGGATACTCCTGACTAGACAGGACAGCCAAAAACCACCCACAAATTTTTCATTGGGGAGGGCTGTTGGACAAGGCGCTCCGTTCTCCAAAGGGTATGTATTTTCTGTCTCACAGATTTCCCTTTTTCCGGTAAGAACCATCACGTCAGCCTGCTGATATCATTCACTACAGTCTCCACAGCCTGTTCACTTCAGCTATCAACTGAATCACACGAGCAGCCAAACAAAGACCCCCCCATGTACACAAACACCTCAGACTGTTGCTTCCTCTAGAACAGGTTTCTCTTCTTTGGGAAAGCATTAGTACTGCCTTGTGAAAAGGCATGTTCGGGTACAATCCATGTGGAAACAGCCTGGACCTCAAGTGACTCTGCCTACCGTCTAAAGAAAAGCACAATAATGGCTTTACTGGATCCCAAAAGGATGATATAGCTCAGAAGCTTAGGCCCTGCAGTAGAGAACTCTACAGGGTTATTTCTACAAGGAAAGCCCAACAAAAAGCATGTTGCCTCTCCAGTCCTCACTACTGCCCATCTTCCATCAGTACAGATTACCCAGTCTCAGGAGAGCAGGTCAGACGAGGTTGATTGATGGCAATAACATTTTTCCAAATGTTTGATCGAACCATATACAATGCAGTATGTGTAGTTTCCTGGCCTTTTAACTTTGGGAAGGAAATTCAACAGAGCATAACTTGTTCTTACCAAATCTGTTCCACCACTAAGAGTTTTAGATGCTGGCTGGCAGTAGCTGAGCAGTGCTGGTCCCTTACCTTCCTCTATCCACTCCACTTTCCTTTTGATAGCAATCATCATGGCATCTGAGCAAAGTGCATACAAATCTGCTCCTGTTAGTTGTGCAGGACATTTATCAAGGACACTCAGGAGGTTCACTGAAGGGTCTAGCTTAAACCTGCCAGGAAAGGATATTTCTGAGGGTTAGTACCCTGGGGGGATCATCACAAGGACACAACAGAAAGCTGTGGGCTGGAACGATCATAGGGATGGTAGACTGAGGTATCTGTATGGTTTCTGTGCATGCACACAAAAGCTTACACCCAGAATTAAACTTTGTTGGTCTTAAAGGTGCCACTAGTTTGTTCAGAATTTGTTCTGTTACTTCAGACCAACACGGCTACCCATCTGAATAAATTCAGTTTGAGGAAACGAGGATTTTATAAGTCCACCCTGCTTAAAAACAGTCAAGACAAAATCAGTAGGTGAACAGAAGAAATAAAATATAAACTGATGGAAGTTGCGGAAATAGACAAATTAAATTTGATACTACAGGGGAAAAGTGAAGAGTTATTTGTTGAAAGATGGTTAGGACTATACAAATGGATAGAAACTGGAAAATGACTCAAAAATATATGTTTGTATATGAAACTGTTTTAAAAAATGTAAATGGAAAAATTGATAAATAAAAATTAAAAAAAAATCAGTAGGTGAAGAAAACAGTTATAAATGGGCAGAAGTAGCTGGCAAGAAAACAATAAAGGTTGCCTACTTCAGCTACCTCACTGGTTCCTCACTTTATCGAAGGATCTGGGCCTCCCAGGACAGACTCACCCTCTTTGGGTGAGGGGTCATTTCCTGCTGTTAGCAGCCTCTCTACAAGTCAGCTCTTGAGAGAAGACCATCACCCCTCCAGTGCAGTCACCAGCCTACCCTTTCCCTCCAGTTTTACCAGGCCCAGTCCCTAGCTTAAGATGGTATGTGGGAAAGGCCCAGAGAGGAAATTTACAGGAATTTGTGTGGGAGCGTGTTTTCCCTGAGGTCTGCAGACTGCTCCGTGGACCAGCCCTGAGCCCAGGAAAGGGAAAACAGTGTATACTCTGTTTCAGAGGATAGCCATGTTGGTCAGCAGTAGAACAGCTAGATTCGAATCCAGTAGCACCTTAAGAGATCTTGTTGGGCTCTAAGGTGTCCTGGATTCAAATCTACCTGTTCTACAATATATCACTCAGTGACACAGGGACTCTGATTCATGACACCTTATCAGCCCGATTCACCAAAATTTCATGGCACAAGTATGATAACTTCCATACCATATTTTAAAGATGCTGCTGCTGACACAGGCTAAGGTCACAAAGCCTGAGAAACAGCTACTACATCGAAGGAAGGCAGCAGGTGCACAAATTGCCCAAATCTATAAAGTTACCAGAGAGAGAAGCAACTCACTTCCTGGTGATGGCATTTAGTACCCGTAGCTGAGAGTCTCGGTCTTCGTTGAGACCTACATAGACCAGCTTATCAAATCTGTCAGGGAAGCAGAAAAATTCTTTAGAAATTAAACCCCCACGCATACAGACAGAGAATGGCTGCCGTATCCTTACAGTATATCCACCAGCCTCATGGAACTTTGAGGACTACAAATGAACATTTCTACTCTAGACTGTCCCATCCTTCCCTCATAGTTCTCCAGGCACCCACTCCATCCCCCCCCCTGAAGCACCACCTCTTCAACCTGATTGGCTCATGCGGTGACAGCTCTCACTCTTCCTGCCTGCCTGATACGGAAGTGGCAGGGGCTCCCACCCTGCAGCTCTGCCGCCCTTTACCTGGCTTATGCAGTGGTAGGTGATAGCAGCAGTAAAAAAGGCAGCCCTTGGAAAGGCCACAGCCAGCATCTCTACTAGAGAGCTGGCAGAGGTGCCTGGCCCCAGAGGGGAAGGGGCAAGGGAGGCCACCCATTCTGGACCTTCCATGAAGGAGAAATGCCCCCGTGAGTGAAGGAGCGCTCACTTAAAATGGTAGCCATTTCCTCTGCCACAGGAACTTAAATTTTGAGTTTTATTTTTTCTTCTTTTTGTGCAAACATGAGGGTCGATGCAGGTTTAAACAAACACCTCCCTGCCCTGTACCTGGCCCCAGTGTGCAAATTTAGCAGTTAGCACATCCAAGTTCCTGTTGAGAATTAGCTATATCATACTTTAATGTACTACCTGGTCTCTGACAAACAAAAACCGAGCTATAGCCTCTACTCACCTCATCCATCACAATCCAGAAGAACCTCCCTAGAGGTTTCTTGGTACTCCCTTTATACAGCAACACATTGGTTTCTAACATTTATATGCAGCATTGTTACACAAGGGCTCATGAAGCTTCTAGTGTCCTGGCCCCACTGCTGGACCTCCTGATGGCACCTGGTATTTTTGGCCACTGTGTGACAGAGGGTTGGACTGATCCAACATTGGCTTCTCTTATGTTCTTATGAAGCATTAGCTTTTAATAGAACCAACTTCTAGCAATCAGAGGCAAGGAAGCAGAAATGAATGGGTTAGCACCTCAAGACCTCCATTAATGTAGAATACTTTGGCTAAAATGCTATCCATATAAAGAGTGGGAGCGGAAAATCGTCCTGTGCCAGAAGACAAAATTGGTAACCAATGGAAAATACAAAGGTAACGTAACTAATTCAGCTTCACCCTGCATTGCCATAGACACTTGGTGAGTTTCAAGATAAAAGTCACTCATAACAAGCTTGTGTCCTTCAAGCCACACTTCTACACTACCTGCGCTCATGGAAGGCCACTGCACCTGCATGCAGAAGCAAGCCCAGAACAGCCATCCTACCTGCCTGGCCGGAGCAGTGCCGGGTCCAGAAGATCAGGTCTGTTTGTAGCTCCAATAACAAAAACATCTTGGGAAGAATGAAGTCCATCAAGCTCTGCTAGTAGTTGAGACACAATCCTGCCAAGTGAAACAAGACGACATTTCAAAGCTGCCATAAATCCCAGTGCATGAAGCAAGCAAGCTGACTCAGGAATCCAAAGGGAACGTACTATTCCAAATCAGTTATCTGTGTATAGAGGACCAGTGCCCAAAGCTCATATCAGATACTGTACTCCATTGGGGAAAACAGTTTTTGTTTTAACGAGAATGGTCCCATGCAGGCAAAGGAGAACATGCAGCACAGTGAAGTAAGGTGACTCGTCCAAATCCAAAAAGGAAGATTAAGCAACAAAGAGAGAACACAGTCATCTCGTAAGTGGAAATGTTTTAGAGATACCTATAATATCATATATGTCCTGACCTGGATAGCCCAGGCTAGCCTGATTTCATCAGACCTCAGAAGCTAAGCAGTGTTGGCTCTGGCTAGTATTTGGATGGGAGACCTCCAAGGAATACCAGGGTCGTGATGTGGAGCCAGGCAATGGCACACCACCTCTGAACATCTCTTGCCTTGAAAACCCTATGGGGTCGCCGTTAAGTCAGCTGTGACTGGACGGCACTTTCCACTACCATAGTATTGTACAGACTGGAAGGATGACAGAATTACACACCTTTTGGAAATACTGCCAAATCGTGTATTTAATAGTCAAGAAAGGTTCCCTGTCAGATCAGAAATTCCACAAGGGGGGGGGCAGATGGGGCTAAGGTATATGTCTCCGTCAAACTTGAGAGAAAATACAAGTTTGCAGAATAATAAGAAAACGTCCAACAAAAGTTTTTGGATTACAAAATATCCAAAACAGGAAAAGTGATAATTGCACATGCAGACATCACAAGAAAGGGGGGGGGGACCCTGAAATGTGAGAGTAGCGTATTAGCTTACTGAAGCAACCCAAAATGGTACCCTACAATGGAAGGAGATGAAGGGAGCTGAAGAGGGGGTAGAAATGGCAGGTGGGGCAAGCAGTTGGGAAGAGCAAAGACTTGGTGGGTGGGTGGGTGGATGAAGGAGTACAGTGGGGAAAGAAAGACAGGGAGGTGGATAGGGAACAAAACAATGGTAGCCAGACAGAACCAGGACAGGAGGAGGAGTATCAGGGACTTGGTGGGGGAGAGATATAATCCCAACATTTAAAGTACAGCGTTGCCCTCTCTCAGGAGGCCAACAGCTACCCTAAGGAGGTTCAAGAACTCCTCACATGCATAGGAAGTTTCTTGTTTCACCCCAGCCCATTTTCCCCCTCTAGCAATAATAGCCTTACTCTTCACATGGGAGGAACAAGAAGGCATTTTGTGAATGCTAAAACTAGACCGAGAAACTAAGGAGGCCATATGTAGAACTATTTCTGGCAGTCATGTACCCAGACAGATACTACAGGTTCACTTGCTTTGCAGTACTCTTAAAATGAACTGGTTTTCAAGACACCATTGTCATTTATAATTGTTCTCATCATATGTTTTAGAATTAAGCATTGGTATTGAACAGTCGCCTTGAGCCCGTTCGCGGGGAGGGCGGGGTATAAATGCAATAAAATAAATAAATAAATAAATAAACAGTCAAGCCTAAAGCCTTGAAGGATATTCCATGAAATAAGTTGGCATGCTGCATCCAGCTTACAAGATGCCCTTAGTTACTATAACCCATCCCAAAGCACTGTGCCAAGCGTGGATATAGGAAAATTTGAAACCCTAGAGAAAGAGAGGAGGAGAAAGCAGGCCAACTACAAAAACCAAAGGGATGGTGAAATGTAGTACTGAGCATGCAAAAGCAGAGACAAGTACTGCAATGATTAAGGTGCACTCACCTATCCATAACACCCCCTGAATCACCACTCCGGCCACGACTGGGGGCCAAGGAATCAAGCTCATCAAAAAAGATAATGCAAGGAGCAGCTGCCCGGGCTCTGACGAACACTGAGAAGAGATAAATCAAAGCTAAATTCAGCAGCACATATAGCATGAGGAGCAAATGCAGTTGGCTAAACATTCCCCATTCATCTTCCCAGGCAGAAAACCAAGTTCAGATACATGCTGCCAGCCACTGCAAGGTATGAAGAAACCTGAGATTAAGCTGGACTGTTTTTGAAAATGTTCTTTGGTACTTTTGCAGTGAGTTGTCATTCTTCAGATTAATATTGTAAGACATTTTAAACATAATTTTTTGTCAAGAGTAGCTTTTTAAAACAAAACCCCCCCGCACAAGTAAGATTTGGAATATGGATCATAAGTGAATATAACTCCTCCAGGTAAGTGACAGTCTGAGAAAGAGATGCACAGAAAGAAGCACAGCACTGCAATGGCAAGTCATCAGGCTCACTCTGTTACTCTGGGCCCTTCTACTATCTACACTGGACAAATGTGTCGATCCCTGCTTAAGGGTATCAACAAACACAAATCTGACATAAGAAACCACAACATTGAGAAACCAGCAGGGGAACATTTTGGTCTTCCTGGATATACTACAGCAGATCTCAAAGCTACTGCTTTACCCTCCCCCCAAAAAAAACCTTCAGAAGGAATATACAGTGCAAAAGTGCCAAGTTATAACTCACCAAGAAATGAAACACTGTCATTCTGGGTTAAGCAGAGACTTGTATTGCATTTCCTTATTCAGTATAATTTCTCTTTACTCAACTCGACCCACCTTTTAGAAACTAATAGGTTATTTTTAACATGTTGCCTCATAGTATGTATACCCCTTACTAAAGTCAGAAACTTTTCTTATGCCTCAGACTGTGCCTTCCTCAATTAGTTGTTACTTATGCTACACTTTTGTTCATCTACACTCCATGACCACTGTCATCATCCACCATGTGTAACAACCCAATCTATTTCAGCCTTTGGACAGAAAACTGCACCTGAAAGACATATGACAGGTTCCACTCCAAGCCTCTCTGCTCAATTCCCTTTTTCCTTATAAGTGTATGTAAAATGTTCATTTCTCTCGAAAATGCATCTGAAAAAATGAACTCAGACTTCCGAAAACTCATGCTGGAATACACATTGTTAGTCTTCAAGGTGCCACTGGACTTTTATTTTGATTCATCTCACTACCTTTTAGTTCACCTGATTTCTGCTTTACAATGCAAATTATCAACAATGTAATCCTAAACAGAGTTAAGCCTTTCTGAGCCTGTTGAGTTCAGTGTAACTCTACTCAAGATCGCACTGTAATTCTGTGGAATTCCTTGCTTAAAGAAAGAAAGTGTGTGTTACCCCCAACCCCTGGCTCTTGAAACTTATAAAGGAGGCGGACACTACTGGTACCTTACTCCTTAACAAATTTAACGTTTACAAAAACTGCTATGATAGATGTTGACACTGTAAGTAATCAGGTGTTGATTTTATGTCATGTGTTGGATTTTATCCTAAAATACAGAATTTCAGAAACAAGAGTTCTTTATGGAAAATTGAGTTGATGACCAATTATGCAGTTCCTTCTATGTACAATAAATGTCATTTTGGGTTATACAGATAATTCTATACCCAATTTTGATATGGTAAAATATACTGTATTTTAAAACTAAGTACAGAATTATCTATATAAACCAAAGAGGTACTTATTAGGTTAAAATTTGCATAGAGATTGGGGAAGTAAGGAGTGGGGAGAAAGATGAATTTAAAGTGGATCACCATTTTTTGTTTTTAAATGGTGATACGATCTTGATTTGAACTACTGTAATGTCTGTACTTATTTAGCATAACACACATTTCTAAAATAACTGTACAGTTTGTTTTATTTCTGTATTATGTTTTGTCTCTTTATGTAGAAATCATCCTTACGCTGTCTGAACTGCACACTGTGTTTCACAAATATATTTAATAAAATGAGATTAAGAGCAGCTTGGAAAAGGAGCTGTCCTGAAGAAGAAACAGAAAAATGGCACAGAATTTGGCTGTGGGGACTGAATTATAGGAATAAGGCAACAAAGGGATCAGAAGAGTCTCTGAGCACAGTAGCTGAGCAAAAAGCTAAGCTAGATGTTGAACCAAATATGCAACATCTGCTAAAAGAATTTAGCTTTCCTCTCCCCCTCTGTAACATCTAGTGGAATTGACATTGGTATTTATAGAGGTTCATGTTTCTCCATTGCTGACAAATCACTGATGTAACAAACAGATGCAAGGAAATCAATCATGGCTTATTACTTAACATTTGTATGTCATTTTACATGTGGGAGTAGATTTGCAGAAGTTAACTTTTTCAGGTGCAAAGACAATGTTTTCCTAAGAACCTGTCCCCTCTAAGCGAACATAAGGGTCCCACACTAACCTTCACGCACATTCTCTTCACTCTGCCCAACATACATGTTAATGAGCTCTGGTCCCTTCACACTGAAAAGGGGGAAAAAAAGAAAATTATACCAACATCTCAATTTCTATATTCCCTATATCACCCTTTATCTCAGTGCCTACCTAAGGAATGTCATGGTGCACTCAGTTGCTACAGCTTTAGCTAGCAGCGTTTTTCCTGTTCCAGGAGGGCCATAGAGGAGAAGGCCAGAGCGGCGAAGACCTAAAGACAATAGTTCTGGGTGTTCTAGGGGAAGCTGAATGGTGTCCAGGATCTCCTTCTTCACATCCTGGAGCCCACCAACATCTTGCCAGAAGACAGATGGTATCTGCAGCAAGAGAACAGCCTTGTGATTTTCTGGTTCCATTGCCCTCTTTTGTTCCAGAAGTTGCAAAAACATTATGGTGCTCTCAAAGGAATACAGTCCCATAAGCACCTAGAACAAAAGCTATCCTTAAATACTCCTCTATAGTCCAGCCGCTGATTGTTGCTATTCCTGCCTCATCACCCAAATCTCTTCCCACAAAACGTCCTGAGAGATGGGTCTCACATGGTCTTGTGCCTTGAACAGACTGGGTCAAATATAAGCTCCCGCTGTATAAAACGAATTCGAACTTTAAAATCGACAGCTGTGCATTCCATCTTTCAACATGACTAGATCTGTAACAGTAAACAGCAGGGCTTTCTGAGGGCAACATCATCTCCATGCAATCCTTATAGGAGTCACCCCTCCCTCTCCCAAGATCTCATCAGCAATGTTGCTGAAGAATTTACAAATGATTGCTGATTTGTTTGAAACACTTATAACCTGCTTTCCCACAAAACAGAACCCCTAGCAAGCTTTTCAGCTGTCAGAGGTTATTCTGTTTCTGTCAGCAAGCTGCCATTCTGTTTTCTGTGACCTCTGTGTACATATCCTTACCCTGTTGCACCCGGCTTGTTTCTATTATCCTGCTTCTGTGCTGGAATGCATAAGATAACTACTGGTGGATGTGTGGGGGAGAAGATGCTGTAATGCTTGCCTATTGCTATCTCATGAGAACTGCACCTGTGTTTTGTCTGATGTTATGCCTGGTTCCCATGGACTGGGCGCGCAACCGTTTCATTAGCCCGCCAGCGGGAATGTTATTCATTGGATATGTATCAGTTTGAATTTCCTTTATTATGCTCGCCCTACCTGTGTAACCCCAGTTCTAACAAAGAACGTGTTTGAGTATGTCTTCAACGCTTTGAAATAAATTTTGCTTTTCTTGAAAACGTGGATTTATTCTCGATGCTTGGGGATCCAACAGTTTCATACCTTTGGCACTCCCAATGCCTGTGAATGGGCCTCATGCAGTTTGTCTAGTGCAGTGCTGAAGTCTTCTGCCAGGAGAGGGAAACCTGCAGCACAGAAATCATGCTCCTCCTCCTTGCTCAGTCCACCTGGGAAACTGGTTAAGGAGGAACAGAAAAATCCAAAGTCACAGAGCATTACTGATCCCTATCCAGTTGACCAAGCCACGGGTCTCCAAATTATAGAGTCAGTCGAGGTACTGCATTTTGTGAACATTCATGCCATCGGAGCAGCATTCCTTGTTTTGATGATTTTTCAGCACAAGGGGGCAAAAGTGGATATGAAGGGGGTGCCCCTGTTGCCTTAAGCTCCATTTTGCCATGCCACTGCTGTGGAAGACTGCAGCACACCATAGCAATTACTACATTCAGCAGTTACGTTCAGATGTCTAATTTAACCATGCATAAGTAAAAATGCACATGAGCCCAGCTTTAAAAACTGTACTACCGCAGCACATCAAGGACAGAGGGGAGAGATGGCCATGAACAGAAACCCCCACCCCCAACAAAAGTAAGGATTTTGAGGGTGCTTTCTGCAGCTCTCAAAACAATTCTTTTTTGCCTCATATCTGAGGACGAAAATTGGTACAGTTCTATCACATTCAGACACAGTTAAGGCTCTAAACCTTTTCAAGATGTTTACAAGGGTAAACCAAGACAAAGAGAAAAACAGAACCAGCAGGGCTCAACTATTAATACTTATTTGTGATCCTATGCCAGCAGGATCAGGAAAAATAGTTAAATTTTTGGGAAAGGCCCAAATTAGCATGTTTCCTTCATACTATTCACAGTCCACTTGCAACTAACGTCCAGATGCAAACGAGCCAGAAAACCTTCTTCCAGTACCTTGAATTCTGGATCCTGGTGCAGGCAGCACGACTGCTATGGGAAAGCAAAGCACAGAAATCTCCTAGAACAAAACCCTGCAGACGTGGAGCGAAACAAGTGAGATGGGGGGGGAGAATACTTGTGTGGTAATACAGGCTGCAAACAAGGCATTTTAAAAGAAGGCACATAAAGACGTTTCTTTCTATACATTAAAAAAACTGCATGTGAATACCTCTTTCTATATATTAAAAAAGTGCATATCTGGGAATCTCATCATGCATTCTTTCGACAAGCAACTGAGCATGCTTCTGAAGTAATGAAGAACGCCAAAGCAGTCATGCTGCCACTAATAAGAAATTCCAAGTTCAGTGAAGATAATGATGTTAATACTAAATTGTCAAGTAGACGCAAGCAAGATGAATGTCACTTCACCCCTAGCTTATTTAATGCTGTAAAAAAAAAGTTTCCAGGATTTTGCCATAGTGATCAAAACATCCAGAATCAGCATTCTCATTTGAGTCATGCTGCTTATATAGGGGAGGGAAGCGGCTCCTTGTACTATAAGCGGCAGCCAGGAGCCTTCCTTGCTCATCACTCTTCACTTTAGCCTTAATGTGAGGCCAAGAAGCTAGAAAGCGATGCTAATGTTTAAAACTCAGAACTTTACTTTCTTTACCCAGCTGGGCGACCCACCCTTTATGTCACTGGGAGGGATGTGTCACTCACCGGGCTTTGCCGGGCTAGTTTGCTCAGGCTCACTTCTCTGCCCAGAGGGAGGCCCTCTGTTAGCAGGCTCAGCATGGCCTTCCTCTGCTCTTCAGTCGGTGCTTCCATTTTCACCTCGTGAAGGAAAGCTGTCTGCAAGTCTGCAGGGACATCCGCAAGCCTGGATGTTGTGCCTACCGCCAGGACAGGGTAACTGCTGAGAGTGAGACAGGCGGACACTTGAAAGCCACCGCTCAGACACCATAAAGGAATATCCTGATCTCCCGCTGCAGATCCCCTGCGCTTAAGAGATCCTCTAAGCTCCCAGCCTAGCTAGTAGTTGTACCACATAGTCAAGCAGACTGAGTTGCTGTAGACTGTTCTACCCCTGCTGCTTTTACTTCTTGAACTGCTTCAGTCCCAAACAGTAGCACAGAGAAGGAAGGAAAAGATATAGTATGGCAGATGTGTTATACATAGCACAAACAGCACCAGCAGACTTCTATTTGCATTTTCCTGCTCCCTAAGGCTCAAAGTGTCCCCTCCATATAGGGCTGCCAAGCCGCGGCGGGGGATCCGTGGGTCTTCACAGGATCCCTGCCGTGGGGGACAGCGATACGCGTTGCACCGCCGTTGCCAGGATGTGACGCTACGCATCGCTCTGGCAACGGGGCTGTTTGGCGTGTAGGAAGTTGCATCGCTCTGGCAACGGGGCTGTTTGGCGTCCCATTGCCAGAGCAACGCGTAGCGTCACATCCTGGCGACGGCGGTGCAACGCGTATCGCTGTCTCCCACGGCAGGGATCCTGTGAAGACGCATGGATCCCCCGCCGCGGCTTGGCAGCCCTACCTCCATATCATTCATTTTCTAGATTTCTTTATCATCCATGTACCATAACTATTCAGGGATGAAAGCAACTTAAATTTCTTACTAGAACTGCCTCCCCCTCCCCTTCCTCAATGATTGTGTTCGGCAGTGGCCCTTGCTCCCTAGCCTCGAACCAAAAGGGGAGTGGGATGGTAGGTTATCCTCCTCCTCCATGCAGACTGGAACAGATGATCAGTGGTGGGTGCCTCCGAGTTCATTTCACAGCAAGCACGGCAAGACATGCACAGTTCCCTCTTGGCCTTACACAAGACTGCTGGTTCTCACGGAGGCTGGAGGTCTTCTCAGTCACTGGGAAGACTCTGAATGCCCACCAGAATGATTTGTGTAATGCCATCAGCTGAGTGGCACCAGCCTGCCTGAGGAGGGGGGCAGGTATGGCATGCGCCTCCCTGGCTCCACTGCTAATCTGATGTGGGCAGAAAGCACCTTGCCTGTTCCTGCAGCCAGCTGTTGCTGCTGGCCCACTGCAGGGATCTTTTCCATTTTCTGGTCAGCTGGTCTCCTGCAATTCTCACCTGAAGGGCATTTCAAAGGTTGGTGCGGGCCAGGACTCAGACATTTTCTTACTACTTCACTGTACCAGCTTGTACTGGCTTGCTTTCACCTTTGCAAATATTTCACTGTACCCATATCATCCATGTAACATTTACTGTAGTTTCCAATGAACCCGTGTAGGAAGTTAACAAAAAGACCTTCTTGAAGCAAAAAGGCTCACAAAGGTCCTTCGACAAATTAGGGGGCTGTTTCCCCAGCCAATGTTCACATATGTGTCTATATACAGACAGCTCAAAGTGACTCTGTTAAAGCCCTAGCGTACTGGGAAAACAGTTCTCACAACTGAGGAGGGAAACCTCCAATGAATATCACAAGATTCTAGTGAACCGAGCCATACCTGGTGTCTGCCTCTCTGTCCAGAAGAAGGTGCCTTATGGCAAGGATTACTCTGGAGTCCTCCCCAAGCCCATTGCGCTCTCTCCCCAGCAGCTCTACATCTTTCATCAGTAGGATACAAGGGCTATAGAGCTCAGCTTGTGAGAAGGCAGCATGCAGCTTTGCTTCTGTAGATCCACTAGTGTCCCCACACAAACTAACACAGTCCACCTATATGCAACCAGAGAACACAAAGGACTGCACTGGGTTTGAAAAAAATAACTGTGAGAATGTTAGGTTACCTAACTGTACGATCATTTCAGTCCAATGGAAAAGCTGTCTTAGAAGCACTGCAGAACCTCTCTCACCAAATGGTTTCAAAAGATGACAAGAAAAGCACCCAGAAGGTATACAGTGAATCCCACCCTCAATGCTAGGAGCTCTCTTTCTGGAAAGGTACACTCTCCCCCACAAAGTGCCCAAACCCAAAGTTCAGATTTCAAGGGTCAAAAAGCCCACTGCTATTTGCAATCAGTTTTATACTCTTAAATGGGATATATTCTGAACATTATTAGATCACAAATCAAGAAACTTAAAGGCTAAACGAATTCACCTTGAACAAATGGAGATTGAGGCGGCTACAGGCAGCTCTAACAACTGTCATTTTCCCGACACCACTGGGCCCCGAAAGAAGAGTGCTCCCAGCTCCACTTAGCAGATTCCCCCTGGAACACAGGAAACAACAACTGATTTACTTTATACTGCAGGAAGGAGGAGACAACCGCAGGAAACACACACGGAATGTGAGAGCTCCAAGCATCAATGAGACGCTGATTTCAGTCAAGGGAGTCAAACAGAACGTGGACCCCCCAGCTTAAAAAACTGGTTTTTAGAGGCCTTTTTCTGTGATGTGGAAACCTCTCGGTGGCCTTCAGTATGAGCCAAAAGATAATCTCGGGGGGGACGAGGACCTGGGTTTGGTTCCAAACAAACAAGAAATGTTAGATTTGGGTCCAGTTCTGGTTTGCAGAATCATCTGAATCAGTTTTTAGGCTAGAGTTCAGGCTCAATTTCTTAATTTCAGTACCTGACAGCCCTAGAAACATTCCCCAAAAGCAATGTTCTCTTTTTGCCAGTGTCAGAATGCACTGATCTAAATGTCAACAAAAAAGCTGATTTAGATCACTTACCAAAATCAAACATTTTCTTTTAGATACTTCCTACCAAAAGCAATGTTCTCTTTTTGCCAGTGTTAGAATGCACTGATCTAAATGCCAACAAAAAAAGCTGATTTAGATCACTTACCTAAATCAAAAATTTTCTTTTAGATATTTCCTTAGTAGGTAGACTAATTGATTGCCATAACCATAAAACACAGTGATTCATAATTTAGATCCTTTCTGCAACATGACATAACATCTAACTGAATATTTTACAATGGATTATTTCTTCATACCAATGCCCATGTCCTCAAATAGGTTTTTTTAGATAGGTATGGAATGGACTAGAACACGCTTCTCTTATCCAGGGCTTCATTCTGTGTTATTCTGCCTCTTCTCCCCTGTCTAAACTGCTGTCACAAAAGTGGGTCCTCAGGATGTAAGTATTTGCATTTTCTATAGAATTGTTAATCCATAAGTTTTGTCTGGAATGGTTCCAAGCTACAATGTACCTTACTAATGAGCACCTGCAGTTAGATAGGTTGATAGTGGCCAGCTGTGAGCTATCAAAGTAACTGCTTGACAGCAGAGGATCTTGACAGTTCAAGATCTAGATCAATTGACTGATCCTTGTGATTGGTCAGTCAATCAAGAACTGACAGCTGAGCTAGGATAAAGTCAGGGGTCAGGAGAACATGGATATTCACACAGAAAACATCAGAGAATGATGGGGAAGAACCTGCTGCATGAAGAGCAGTGTGAACCTGGAGGAAGAGGTTGTCACTCTCTTCAGTACTTCTGCATCTGTGCTGCTGGGAAGACTGCTGTGCAGGGTCAGTGTTAGTAGTTAGAGAGTCAGGTTTCTTATGTTTGTCTTTGTTTCAGTGTGCACACCCTTGTATGTTTTTATACTTGTATGTTTTTATATATGTATTTCTTTTGTAAATAAATTTCTGGTTCTGTTTTTTAAGTAACTGGAGTGAGTTACTGGCCCAGAACCCAGGTTTATGGCTTAAAAACAGTGCCTAGAATTACACTACCAAAAGGGATTGATTTTTTTAATCGGAACACTACCCAAATTTCCTCACACCCCAAGCCAACCTGATCAAATAAACATTGGGGGCACACCCCATTGTTGTGACAACTGCCCTCCTCTATCCCACAGAAAAGCAAATAAATTCAACTAGAATCAAGAACTAGTGGTAGTTGCTCATCATCATTCTCTATGCATTGGAAGGTGCTTAGTATCAAGTCAATGTGCTATGTGATGACCTACAAACATTTCTCTATTTACAAAGAAAAATAACTATAATAAAATCTTAAGAGGGTTATTAAATTAAGTTTTGAAAAATTATTTGCATAGCATTCAGAAATAACCTGCCGACTTCTGAGAAAATTGCAAGCAAAGCCAAAAAAGTCAGTTACAAGAATAATAAATTTTTATCCACCTTGCCTGCATATATTATATGGTTCAGTATTCCACCAACTACATGCCAGAAATGTCTTAAGAGACTTGATGTCGCATAGAAAGAATTCCAATCATACAGCATGAATTCAAAGGAGAGGAGTGGGTGTACCACAGCAACTTCAACCAATAGTGCTTAGAAGTGGCGCAATCCAGAAAACACTACTAACCCACAAAAATGGCAAGTTCTATGGTTATTTCCCTTTGCTGACGCAGAGTACAACTCCAATGCCAGAGAGGTAAGTGTATCTGTGTCTTACTATGTAATTCAAGCTTAATGAGCAAACTTACCTACTGTGCAAGTAAGGTCCAAGAATGTCACACAACTGCTTCACTACATCACAAAGTCCGGCAGGAGATAAACTGCTCCAAAAACTGTGGGTGTTTTGAGATGGAAAAGAAGGGACAGGACTGTTTGTTGAACTGCCCTACAAAATAAAGCAGGGGAGACCATCTTTCATTTACAGGTCTTCTCAACTCACTCAACCAATGTTCTTTAGAAGGATAGCCATTTGGTGACCCACAAAGCAACTTTATCCTGGTGTTGGCAGCATTGCAAAACTTTAATCAAAGTATGGTAGAAATTCCCCACCCCCAGTTTGAGGAGGAAAAGAAAGTTGTTTTCAAAAACTGCGAGAGAAAGGTGTCCCACCTGTTAGTTACAACTCTTTGGGTTTTGTGTGCAATACCCTAGCTATGTTGTAGTTCATAGTGAGCCAGGAAATCATGAACATGCACACTCTGATGCAAGCAGTACAATGCAACTTGATTAATTTAGTTTTTCTATTTATTGGCCATCTTAAATTGTGACTTTAAATTGTAGTTTTTATGTATCTAGCTTTGTTTACTTTGTAAGCCATCTTGAGTTCTTTAAAGTAGAAGGGCAGCTAATAAATATTTTAAATAGTTTCTCACCTCTGCAATATCTTACCAGAAATAAAGAAGTGTTCTTGATGTCGGCCAAGTACCCCACACTCTGTTCTTTTCCTTCTGCTGGTACTATCTTTTTCACCTTGTAGAAGAGCTCTGGCCATCTGAAGGAAGAGCAAACAGGCTAAAATCCCAGTACCAAAGACCTTGGATGTAGGAGTAACCCCTTCACCAGCAGGAAGCAACTGGAATATTGACAGAAATAAAATTATATTTTGTGGGAAAATCGGACTTTATACAGTTTCATAGTTTTTTCCCACGGCAATCTACCCACATCAACATATCAGCCTCCATTTATTATAACACTGAGTATAAACTTCAGTTCCCTAACACTACAGAACCTCCTTGGGCTTCCAGTCACAAAGGAGTGCAAAAAGGCACTCTGCTCATCACACACAAGATTTTCCTAAGTTAGTTCTCCCCGGACATTTACTCCAAACGTCAACCAGACGTCTTCAGTCTGCTTTTATGCTAAACTCAATGATGACTGCAAATCGTACAGTTCAGGGCTCTTCAACAAAAAATTTTGTTGAAGTTCACAAGTTTTCAGTATACAGATTGAAAACTTCATTTCCCTCTTCCAGCACCTCTTTTTCCAAAAATAGAAGCAGCAGCCCTGGTACAGTTCATTTTGTTTAACTACCAGCTGACAGATAACATACCTTAAAAATTTCTCTGAATTTCCTTCTAAGAATTCAGGCTGTCCTGCAGTTGGCACACAGAGAATATCTTCCACCTGGACTAACCTGTAACAAAATAACCACAGTGAAGAATAAGCACATTATTATAAGCAGAAAAATAATTTTTACACCCAAATGATAAAGAGCAGGCAACACAGCCAGAAATGCTTTTCCTCCGGCAAAAATTAGAAAATGCAGTTTAGTGTCCCGGTTCAAAATTTCTACAATGAATGCAAAACAAGAGCATGAATATACCTATACTCCTCAAAAAAAGGAAACATGCCCCCACTGTTTTGGTATGAAAAGGGTTATAGTCTATATTTGTAAAGTATCAGAAGTAAAGCTTCTATGTATACGTGTATGAACATAAGAGAGTCCATCTTGGATCAGTTTCTGTCAAGAGCTCTCTCAGCCCCACCTACCTCACAGGGTGTCTGTTGTGGGGAGGGGAAGGGAAAGGAGTTTGTAAGCCGCTTTGAGACTTCTTTGGGTAGTGAAGGGCGGGGTATAAATCCAATCTCTTCTCTTCTTCTTTATCCAATCCCCACCCTGAAGCTGTCTATGCTTGTAGCCACCCCTACTACCTGTGGCAGAGAATTCTACAGGTTATTTACTCTTTAGGTGAAGAAGTGCTTCCTTTTATCTGTTCTAAGCCTACTGCTCATTAATTTCATTGCGTGCGCCCAAGTTCTTGGATTTTGAGAAAGGGAGATCTACTATCTCTGTCCCATGTATAATTTTGTAAAACTCTTATGTCACCCCTCAATCATCATTTCTCTAAGCTAAGGAGCCCTAACCTCTTTAACCTTTCTTCATAATCATTTTAGTTGCCCTTTTCTGCACCTTTTCCAGTGCTATAATATCTTTTTTGAGGTGTGGTGACCATAATTGTACACAGTATTCCAAATGTGGCTGCACCACAGATTTATATAGGGGCATTATGATACTGGCTGATTTGTTTTCAATCACCTTCCTAATAATTCCCAGCACAGTATTTGCCCTTTTTATTGCCATTGCACCCTGAGTCCAAATCTTCAGTGAGTTATCTACCACGACTCCAAGATCTGTGTCCTGGTCATTCCCCTCTGGAGCACCTCACAATCCTCCCTGAACAACTTAGTGTTATCCACAAACGTAGTCACTTCACTGCTTACTTCCAACTCAAAATCATTAATGAAAACGTTAAAAAGCACCAGACCTAGTAACGAGCCCTGCAGTACTCCACTGCTTATCCCCTTCCACTGTGAAGACTGCCCATTTATACTCACTCTGTTTCCTGTTAATTAACCAGTTTTTAATCCACCAGACAACTTATCCCATGACTGCTGAGTCTACTTAGGAGCTTTTGAAAAGGGATTTGATTAAAAGCTTTCTGGAAGTCTAGGTAAACAACATCTACTGAGTCACCCTTGTCCACATGTTTGTTCACCCCCTCAAAGAACTCTAAAAGTTTAGTGAGATGAACAAAAGCTATTTAGAATTACAGAATTTATGCCAACTCTTCCTAAATAGCTTTTGTTCATCAATGTATCTTCACCTCCAGTATTGTAGTTTTAAATAGTCTCCAGGCTTCCCAAAGGGATTTGACCCTCGTTACCTTTCCTTTCCATTTCTTCTTCACAAGCCCCCTTGTTTGAGAGAAGTTACCCCTTCTAAAGTTAAATGTGGTTGTGCTGGTCTTTCGGGGCAACTCCTTATTTACATAAATGCTAAACTTAATAGCATTATTGTAACTGTTCCCAACTGGTGCTATCATGTTTACATCTCTCACCAGGTCCTGAGCATTACTTAGGACCAATCCAGGATTGCCTTTCCCCTGGTAGGTTCTGTGACCATCTGCTCCATGGCACAGTGATTGAGAGAATCTAGAAAGCCAATCTATTTCTCCTGACTTGAACACACATTGACCCAATCAATGTATGGGTAGTTCAAATCACCTATTATAACACAGTTATTTTGTCTAGCCGCTTTTCTTAATTCTTTTGCTGTTTTTAAATCATCCTCTAACTTTTGACTTTGTGGGCGATAAACTCCCAGAGTTAAGCTTCCTTTTGAGCCCACTATTTCTACCCATAGCATTTCTGTAAGTGAATCTATTTCTCCTAGATTCTCAGCTTTACTGGAACATGTACTGAAACATTACTGTCCTTCAAATTTTAAATAAAGTTGTAAGACAGAAGAAAAATGACCAGAAGAAAAAGAAAAGGTTGATCTCCCCAAAGCAAGTGTTACTTTTCATACAACAATAAACTATTTTCACTGAAAATCTAGAAAATAGATTGTGAATTAAGGTTTATAATTAGAACCGGTAGGCACCAAGTAAGAGTACACGCTTACAAAAATGACTAGGAGAGGCTACCAGTGATACTTGGCACACGGATCTCACAGTAGGCTTAACAAAACACAGAACAAGCATACAAGTGGTGCTTTTTTTAAATCTCAGCTAGTGTAACCAAATTACTTCATTGATTTAACACAGATATTCAAAACATCCCCAAATGTATTATTTTATATACCCAATTATTCATGAATGTCTAAGTAGGGTTCACATATGCACAGTGTCATGCTTACATGTACTGAAGCAGTAAACAAGAAGCACAACAGTAAGATTATCCCTTGATCTCATGAAGAGGGATAGTGAGATTAAATTAACATGTTTACTAACAGGCTAACCTGGGTGTTTGAAAGTGCTGGTAGAGAATTTGGTCATAGACTCCTGTGGTGCTGTAGGCTGGTGAGGAAACAATCTGTATGTGTAGCTCCTTTGCAAAAGGTGGTGCAGACAGCAAGGACTGACTTCCTTTCACCTCTTCTGCTCCAGCAGTCTCCCCATATCTCTACAGAAGACAAATAACCGTACAAATGTTTTAATTCTGCTATGACAGTAGCCAGGAAATTATCATTATCCAGATCTCCTTCTACACAGTACCATCCTATTCTACTGATCTCCCAACCACCTGGGGGAAAACTGATTCACTCCCTCTGCTCACACATTCTCAGTCATTTAATGTTAAGCTAGTTACACATTATCATATTTCAAAATGTTCTCTGTGGTGATTAAAGACTGAATGCTTTCCACATGTTTAATACACACCTGTGTGTGGAACAGTGATTTAATCTGTGTCAACAGTTATGGATGCAGAACACAGGAATAATTTTATGCAACCCTTGCTGCAAAGCTAAGTATATCTAAGCAATCACATTGTCTCCGGATTTATCAAAAGGCATCATCCTGCCTCACTTTGTCCCTAATGTGACACTTTCCACTAACCAAAACACTATGTTTTCTCTATCATACCCCACAAAATCCTTCTCAGTATGTTGACACCACCTTTCTATTTCCACACATTTTAAAAAATCAGCTCATAAGAGAATTGGGTCACTTTTAAGATGCTCTTTTAAAGATACCAACATGTCCTTACTTGTACATAAATGCACAAAGTTACTAGCCTACAAAAAAGTCAAACTAGTTTACCTATCAAAGACACAAGCCACTCTACCAGGGCTTAAAAGGTTTAAAAACAGGGCCAAATCAGCCATGCAAACAGACTGTTAAAGGATAATAACTCAACTTCTGCTAAACTTGCCTGGGACTCATTCTCTCCCTTCTGCCCCACTCTTTTCCACTTCCAGCTTCATCATGTTCCTCTTCCCCTAGCACAATCCCCTCCAGAAAACAGGGTGGGGAGCTAGGAGGTGCAGCTAAACCATGCACATGACATCCACGGTGCTGTCCCTGTGCTAAGCTAGGCTGCATCATGGAAGCTCTAAACAGGGCTGTAACCTTCATTTCCAGATGCAGTTTGCAATCCTTTGCACACTTGCTTGGGACTAAAGCCCATTGAATTCAGGGAGAATGACTCTAAAGTAAACAGGTACAGGATCAAACCCCAGCAAGAACAACCACCCAGCATGCTTCTCCCAGAGAACAGCCTCAGCAGAACTCTATTTTGGAAGCGGCAAGATGGACTTTCTTTCCAGCCTCAGAGCTCACAGATTAACAAGAAACAAGCCTCAAACAAAGCTTTCAACGCAATGCATCTCAAAGGAACAACATTCTGGAAAAGTATATATAAATTGTCTGGAAAAAGTTTTCTGGGTAAATTTCAGAATTACAGCTTCAGTTAAAACCAGACTGTTCTGAGGATAATGCATGGACTTGTTTTCTTCAAGGAAAATGGGAGGAAAAGCGTTTTGTGCAGCTTTAAAGGGGACCACGTTTGGAAGATGTGCGATTCATTGTTTTATATGTGTGTGTGTCTCTTTAAAAGTTTGGTTGCATGGCTGTGGAAGATAGACTAGAGTGGTTGACAGAGAGGGGGAGGGGTTTTGGAAGTGACAATGAGTGGATGAGTATGTATGTCAGTCAAGTTGGACAGTTATATGTAGACAGTTGATAAGTTCAGTTAGTTCTGAGTTCTGTGAGAGAAGCAGAGAGAAGTTCAGTTTGCTCTAAGTTCTGTGTGGGGAATGAGTTAGACAAGCTGTTAGTTCTGTGTATGAAGGAAGTTACAGAGAATAAGAAAAAGTAAATGAAAGTTTAATTGAAGACAAATTATAGGAAAGGCTGTATGTCCTGATATCCTGGAGAGAAACAGTGAACTTATAAGACCTTGAGTTAAAGTGTTACAAAGTTACCTGAAAGATCCCTGTCAGTAAGGGAGCAGATCTTGTGTGAGACACCAAGCAATTGTTCAAAATATTCACATTACTGGTTACATTGTTCTACCCTTTTATTTATGAATTATTTCAATAAATCTTCTTTTATTTAAGTATACCAGCTCTGAAAGGAATACTTCCTCAGGACCACATAGTTCCTCATGATCCTTAAACTCGACCTACCTACCCAGTGATAACAAAAGTAAAAGCATAAAGGTTTGGAAAGCCTTAAATTTCCTGGTGGCAGCCAGATATACCCAGTAGAATAAAATGAAGAACACTTTTAAAGGGAAACCAGTCCTCCCCAATAAGGAGGACGTCACAGAAGACAATGCTTTTTCTCTCAGTGGAGGAAGACAGAAAGAACCAGCACACTGCCCCCGAAAGAACAAGCTCTGTTGCTCCTTTTCCAAAACTTAAAACGTCAACAACTCTTCAAGGCTAGAAGAGAGAGTAGAGCAGAGGTCCACTGTCCT